GGAATAAATATAATTCATATAGTGAATATTGCCCAAAAAAGCATTATTTGACCGAGATGAGGGGCAGCGCATTGCCCAAGTTAAAATATAGCCATAGACTTCACATTATATATAGAAAAATATCAGTACCCATGTTAAATTTACCGATTTGATTTACCTAATGTTTGCCTATTAGAAGATACCTATTTTATATGCTAAAATATTAGCTATAGACTTAAGCAGGTATACAATGCTAAATCCCATATTACGTCAATTATTGTTTACGATTAATGCTAGATTCATTTTTTGCTTACATTTGAATTTATATGAGTTTGGTATTAAATTAATAGAAATTTGTTTAAAATTTGAAACTTGCAACTATAATTTAATGTCATAAAATAAATATTTTATACTAAAGTAAATTTAATTTGTAAAACTAATCAATAGATAAGAAAAATCATATTAATTTCAAATATTTAAAAGCAGGTCCTGTGACTTTTATTTCAACTAACTTGTATATTTCATTTGAAAGTAAAAAATATGCCAAAAACTGCCGCATATATATCCGGATAAAGCACCCCCTTGTGTGAAAACTTGCATGCACTTATATGAGGGGTAATACGGTACTAATTTTAAATATTATTTACAATAATAATTACGCATTTATAAATAAATTTTTATGTCACAGATTGAGAGTCCATTTATATACAGGATGACTGCCCGGTTTGTTGAATTATACAGTCATCAAATGAGCTGGCTTGAATTTTCAAATTTGCCAATCAATCATTGAATCATATTTGAATAATTAGACTCTGAATCTCTATTGGCTTTTATGCCCATGTTAGTTACTAACAAAATAGATATATTGAGTTAAACTGCCATCAGGTGAGACCCCGCCGGCAGACAAGAGCCAGACTTCAATTCCTGGAGCCATTCCGGGAGCTTCTGGGAACACTAGTCACATATGTTGTAAGTTTGGTCTTTATATAAACCCTTTATCACAGATTATTTGAACTTTGCAGCTTTTGGTATTTACTTTTGTAGTGTTGTCCAAACGGTTAACCGGTCAAAGAATGGCTTGACCGTTAACCGATCGGTCAAAAAAAATCTTTGACTTTAACTTTAACCCCGGTTAACCGCGGTTAACCGGTTAACCGATTTTCACCGGCTGACGTCATTAGACCCTAATATATTTGTAAAATACCCTCATTTTTAGGGTATTTTGCAAAAATTTTAGGTATTTTTTTTAACTTTTGGGGTTATTTTGCAAAAAGGGCGTAACTCTATTAATGAATTATTACTACTTTTATTAAAATTATTAGTTATTACAGTTATTATTACCAATTATTGCTGTGACATAAATTACGTAGCGGTTAATCGGTTAACCGGTTAACCGTCGGTAAAAAAATGCTTTGACTTTTAACCGATCGGTCAAAAAAAGTCCTTGACTTTAACCCGGTTAACCGGTTAAAATTTTTTAGCCGGTTAACTTTGGACAACACTATACTTTTGATATTTTGCTAAAATTTTTAATAAGAAATAATATTTTTAGAGAATAACTTTTTAAAAAGAAGCATTTTACGAATTTTCTGGAATATTTTGGTTTATTTTTGTTTATTTACTCTATTATTACCCCTAAGACTAACTGTATTTTATTTCCGAGCATTATATTATCTAACTTTATTTGGGAATTTCCGAATATTTCGAGCTCTAATTATGTCTACTACAATTAATTATTAATAAATACACAGTAATGTTTAAATACATCAAGAGTGAAAACGTTAATATAGTGTGTTAATATTTATTCAAATTAAATTATAACTATATTAGAATTATTGTAGAAAATTTAATTTCATTTATTGAACATGTTGTAAATAGTATAGTGAAAATTTAATTTACATAAAAATATTTAATGAAAAAGCAATGATGTGCCAAACCATTGTAACCAGATATTACATAATACTCTATATTCTTGATTCCACATTATAATTATCAATTTATTCATTTTATCAAAGTTTCTACAGTTTATATTTGTGTAAAATTGATAAACTATTTAATTGTTCTAATTTAATTAAATACAATAAACAAAAAGATGATGTTGATTATCTAAATCTTGATAAAATCTTTATATTTTCATCAATACGTCAGCTATGAGAATATTGTTGAGACACGTATAAAATTATTTTTAATGCTAAAAATTTTGGTGTATATAAAATGTTTACTGCTTATATTAAAGAGAATTTTATAAAAACGTTAAGCCCCATTAAAAAGTCAACTTTGGCTTAAAATTACTCACATAACCATGCACATTTAGTTACAATTTTCACTGTATCATTTTGTCCGCATATGTCCGGTTATAAGCCGTTGAAGTCAGCTTGGTGATTAAAGCAGTGGTTTAGGAGATAAAGACCATGATAGATCAATAATAGTGGCGTCTAAATAGTGTTCCCAGGTTAATATTTCAAAAGGTAATATTATTTATTCATTTAAACTTATTTATTGACGTAATCTATGAATTATATTTACAAAAAGTGAATGTCATTTGCACTATAAATGAATAGAGAGAATACTGTAGTATTGCATTGCATTGCATAAGTGAAATGCCATTTTAGTCCACTTCAAATAATTGTCATTTTGACTAAGAGTTATGTTTTGACAATCAAATTGATTTGATTTGATTGATTTGAATGTCAAACTGTTTGACGACAACAACTCGTTTAAACACGATTTGAGTTTTGAATATTATATATATTTTGCATCAAAATAGCTGTTGAATAGTGTTCTGTATATTTAATGATCAAATAAAGTGTGATTAAACCGGAATTATACTTATTTTATATACAAAAGTGATTACAATATTGATTGTTGTGTTGATTGCGTTGAGAGTTAGATAACTGTCACTGGATTTGAGACAATAGCCACACAATAGTCACACAATGAGACGCAACACATGTTTACCACTTTTTGTGTTCATATTAAGTATGTATTCATTGAATGAATGCAACGCTCAGTGGAAAGAGTTTAAAGACACAGTTTTGGGCACCGGATGTCTCATCACAATCACACCCAAACTCACCACCGATTGTCTTCAGGCCTTCGACAACGAACTCAACGCCAGACCCAAACAGGACAGGGATCAGAAGGTATGCGACAATCCATCCCTTGTATTATTGTCATATCAAGCATAACATGACTACCATTACCATCATTATTACCATCAGGTGCTGTGCTGTGCATATCTGTCGCTCCAGTCCTGTGTACTGAAGATCGCGGAGAAAGAGTGCAATGAAGAGGGAGAAGGAGTGGCCAAAAGTTTCCTCAAAACAATCAATCGAAGCATTACTTCAGATGATTGTATTGATTACGGACTCATCACTTGCATCACAATGACTCAGATGGCGGTCGGGGGTGCGCTCGCACTCGCACTGCTTTTGCTGCTGTCTTGCATTTGTTGCTGTTGTTGTCGAGGAGGCAAACACAGGGGTCGTGTCGTCTAACATGAATAACACGCGTCATCCCAAATAATCTTATTATAGCCCTATTATAGCTATACTTTTGCCATATATCACAGATTGTAGCATGGTACCTTTCAATTGTACTCCTCATAGCATTTATTAGATACTCTAATTTAGAGTACATAGTAAATAATATATATTCTATTGATTATAATGATTTGGTACAATTAGTTGTATAAATATTGTACAATATATTATAGTCAATATTATATATATTCTAGTACTCATGCTTTTTATTATTACAATTATAACACAATTTAATCTCAACTCCAAAAATATAACTCAAATAATATTTGCCGACAATATATGCGATCAATATTTACTTTCGACTCAATTTGCCTCTCAGTCTATAAAAGACAAGATATTATACTTTCTATGTATTCAATACATTCAGTGAAGCAAACATTTCTTAATCTCATTTTTAAATATATTCTTATAATTTTTTCAATATAATTAAAATCACGACAATTGGCTTATTATGTAAAATTTTATATATTTTTCCATTAATATCTCCAAACGACTAAATTTTATACATTTTAATGTACGGTAGTATCACTTTCTGTACACCAAAATAATGTACACATTACTACGGTATGCATCATGTTAAAGTATTGTCAATAGTGCCACAAATTGTATCAAATTTTGATTATAATTTGACTTAAATCTATTTTACTAATTATCAGTAATACTAACTACATTGTACCATACATTGTACCATACGTTGTACCGTACATTGTTTGGTCCATTATTAAGTGAGTTAATATTTCTAATTCTCAAAACACATTAATAGTGTAATGTTTAATACTTTTACAAATCAAATTGTTTTTCATTATAATTTTTATTAGCTTTATAATTAAACACTACATTATTATAGATATAAATCTCAATATAATATGAATATGATTAATTTTTAGATCATTTTGATTATGTTAAATGTTTAAATAACGTTGACATATATGAATACATTTACATTTTATACAATTGCTGTTAATATTGCAATTTTCAATACATAAGTACTGCTTACTGTTAATATTGGTTTTAATTGTATTGTTTCTGCATCAATGCATTACAATAAAAGTGAATGAGAAAACAACGATGTAATTCAATTGTAACTCCATTATTAGTAAAACTATATTTTTGGCAATTATTGTCACAAAGTTTACATTTTCTATAACACTAACCCTTTGTTATTGTAAATCAATTGTATACAGTACAATGTATATAATAATTAGATAATTATTATTAATTGATTTTAATTTTTTAAAATTTGTTTTCTCTTTAAACTTGTAATCTTTAAAATGTTTTGCGTTTTAATTAAAATATATTTAATTTTTGATGAACATTTATTATACTATAGACCTCGTGATTGACAACTAGGATGACCAACTGTCTTTTTTAGAAGAGGACTCTCTGTTTGGAAATATTTTGAGCAATGTACTCTAAAGATTTGCTATGAACATTTAGGTTAAAACTTGTGTCCTCTATTTGTCATCAATAATTATTAAATGTTTCCCTATTTGTTCTCTAAAATTCAATTAAAAGTTCTATTTTTCTAAAATGGGAAGTGATCAATTGACAACAGTGCTATAATAATATTATGCTATGAAATAGTCACATGAATCCATATGAATATACCTGTCCAACAGGTGTACGTAGGTTATGTGAGATTGAAAATTATATTGTCATAAATAGTTTAATGTTGTATTTGAATAACACATGTATTGATCAGACGATTATTGTTTACAAATTCATTTGTT